CACTGACTTACTAAACTGTAAAATAATCTGAAACTACAAAGGTTTTATTTCACCCAAGAAAGATTTAAATAAGACTATTAATAGATCAGATTAAAAAAAATTCCCTTAAAAATTACAATTTGGGTGGTGGGATTTGTTTTTAGCTGCCTTCTTTGTTATTATTTAAACACGTGTGATATTTACCCTTGAATCTTCTCTGGGAGTCAGAAACCAATTTTCATCACTTCTTGGTAGATTGATGTGGCAGTGGACTATTTGTCATCTGGGTTTCAAACTTAGTTGACAAAAACCTTATAGTCTTGCTGGATAAAAATCAGTATTGCTACTATTTCTCTAAAAAGATGATCATTGCCTTAAAATATTGACATGTCTTTACAGTTTGGACATGAGACATAGTTGTGCTTGAGTTATATCACTTAGATATTAGGTTGGTGAAGCCTAACAGATAATCAAAAAATAATTATGGAATGTCTCTGGCTCACAGAAGTGAGTAGTTGGTAGGTGTTTAGCTATTTGGCTGGAGTTTAAGCAACTTGAAGATATACCTCCTCCTTTGGTATTTTCTCACATTAGTTGAGACTGATGCCCTTGCTGGGTGATAGGGATGGTCTCTGGATCTAGAAAGACACCGATTTCCCTCTTCTATTAAGAGAACTTCCCCAGAGGACCCATGATTCTATTCAATGCCGTATCTCTGTCTACTCAGTTGGGTCTCAATGAGGACAACATTTCCCTTTCCAAGCATGGAGGTCATGCTTTTTACAATTTTATAAAATAAGTAATTGTAGCCTTCAAATAATATCATTCATTCAGCTGAAAACTAATATTTCTATTTCTTTGCCTGCCCTCATTACTATTTGTCTTCTGGCCCCACCCCTCCACTGAAGTTGCTCTGTCAAAGGTTCCCAAAGATCTGACAAATCCAGTTGGCAGTTTTCTGTCCTTATCTTACCTGCCCTTGCTGTGGCATTTGATAACTATTGACTATTCCTTGTTACTCCTTTCTGTTGACTTCAGTGATATATTAATTCATTCAATATCCAGCCAGTATTTATTGAGTCAGGCGGAATGCTAGGCATTAATAATAAAACAACGAGCAAGACACGCATTTTTTTTTCCCCACCCAGAAGTTTTACTGTTTTGGTACTGTGCTTGTTACACAAGAGTGAGTTAGTGTTAGATAGACTTCACTTTAAGACCTGGCTCAAAGTTGTGTGAACTTGGGCATATTTCCTAACATTCATCATCTGTAAAATGAGGACAATTAAAAATATCTACATAGGGATTTTTAAAAGGATTAAATTATCTATGGAAGTATTTAGCATACTACTTGGCACTCTTTTATTTTTCATGCTTACTGGGGCAGCCTAATTCAGTCAATATACTCTTCTTTTAAAGACATGACAACATCTCTCTGGCTGGTGTTCTTGACTCTAGCCTTAGCAATGTCAAATACAACTTCTGGAATGCTGATTAATTAGCATCCCATCCCCTACTCCTCCTTCCCAGCCATTATACACTTTCTACTTGCTCTTTCCTGACCACAGCTGGGCTCACCCACCTCCCTCCTTCATCCATACTCCATTAGTGTTCATCTGCTGGGGTGTTCTTTCCTTCCTTGTTGGCTTTTCTTGCTTTTTTTTTTCAAGCCTTCCTCTCCCAAGGAGAGGCAGACATTCTATTTTCTGTACTTCCCTAGGTACTCCTGTGTGCCTATGTTATAGCCCAATCATAAGGTAATTTAATGATCTGTAGGGGACCATGAGAGAAAAGAATGTGTCTTTTTGTCTTGGTATTCTTAGATGTGGCACAACTGTAACCTTGAAAGGTTGATGATATTTATCAAACACTTAGGCAAATGGTAGTTTCTATAAAAGAATGCATATTCTCCACGTGCCAGGCAGTATGCCAGCGATAGGTATGCAGACAGAAACAGGGCAAGGTCCTTGTCCTCAAGAAATGTAGTCTGAGGTGGGATGGGCTAACAGATGAGAGACAACAGGCGCATGTCATGAAGGAACAGATTCTATTTCATTTACAGCTAAAGGATGTCAGCATTTAGGCTGTTCACCTTTTTAAAGAGGTGAATTAACAGTAATTTAAAATTCTAACTTAACCATTAACAAGAGAAGTTTTGTTATAAATTTTGCCCTGTGAGGAAATGTATTCTTATAGACTCAAATGTCAAACTGTCATAGAGTCTGTGATATGAGGAGATGAGCACTGTCTATATGTTTCAAGTGATTTACTGTAAGTAGGGGGTTTGCGTCAATCGTAGGAGTCGGAGCTGCAGCAGTTGTCTGAGCTGAATTACTTTATCTGTGCTTTCTGAATTTTGAGATAAGGTTTAAAATGAAATTCTTGGCTATTGATTTGCAGTATATTTGCAAAAGTTGAAGTGATCTTTTCTTAGTTTTAATTTTTCAACATCTAAGAATTTATTTCTTCTTTTCTGATCTTGTGCAGTTAACAATCATGGGAATAAAGATCTTTATTAGTTAATTGAATATCTTTGTTTATATAGAATACCGTGGATAGTATTTGAGTATAGTATTCAAAACAATTTGGTTTTTTTTCTTTTTAGTGATAGTTACTTTAGCATCTGGTATTCCTCAGTGTCATCATTTGAAAATTAATAATCATTGTACCTTAAAATACAGAGGTGCTTTTTAAAGCAGCGAGGATTTCTAGTTAATGGAATGCTGGATACCGAGTAGTTTTTATTTTGTTGCCTCTGGTGAATTTACTTGTTATTTTCTGGATAATTCTTTGGGATTTTTGGCATTGGAAATAGAACATAAGCTTACTGTATTGACTCTATTATCTGTGTTCTTTACTTAATAACCGTGAAGGCATTTTAACTGTCATGAGAAATGCAAGTTAGAAACATTCCTCTTTTTCTTCTGTGCTTATAGACCCTAAGTCCTTTGAAGGTACAATTCTTCAAAGTTTAGAAGTAATCCATGGAATATTTTCAGTGGCACATGGAATACCGAAGTTCAGCAAATATAGTCAGATTATAGGAATTTTTATTTATTCTGAATTTAGTTTTTAATAAGAATTTAATAATTATAAAATTTCATAGTAACAAAGAACACTGTCATTGAATGTAGGCATAAATCTAATTTGTATGTATTACAATTGTTTAATTACAATATAGTGATGGTGATATAAACATTTGGCAAGGAAAGAGGTTTTAGTGAAGGAAATGAAAATGGATAGAATTAAACCAGGAGAGTATAGTTTGATAAGCCAAAAGAGAAGAGAGTTTTAGGAGGAAGAGATGACCAATAGTGTCAAAGGGAAAACAGCAAACAAGGTTAAGTAAGATAAGGATGAAACAGTACATTGGTTTAAGTAATTACGAGAGCAGTTTCACACTGCCATCAGAGCAGGAGCCAAATTGCAGTATCATCTATCTTGTTTTCTCTCTTCCACACTAGCAAACTGTACAGATAAATGCTATTATTATCAATTCCCTCTGGCATTATTGTTAGTGAGTGCAACATGTGTTGAAGAGCAATCTTAATAGGTGACTTTCTCAGCTAGCTTTAAGCATCGAATCTATGAAATCGAAATTAATGTGATGCATCTTTATAAAGAGATTCTTTCTTACTTAGGTTTTCTACTTATTCCCACCTAGTACATGCATTTTGATAAGTAGGATGGTAATATGGATGGTATATGGACATAATATAGATGCTAGTTGGATATTCTATGAAGATTGGGGAAATCATTAAGAAAAAGAAAAATATTATTTGTGATAACCACAGCAAGTGAAATAGGGTATTGAAAAGTGAACAGTTAGATTAGCAGCATTTGAAAAGCTGATGCTCTGGGAGTTAGCAGGAAGGCAGGGATATTTTAGGGGGAGCACAGAGGATTTTTAGAGCGGTGAGAATACTCTGTGATACAAAAATAGTGTAGACATATCATTATGCATTCATTCAAACCTGTGGAACAGTGGTCCCCAAGCTTTTTGGCACCAGGGACTGATTTACTGGAAGAAAATTTTTCCATGGACCAGGGGCTGGGGAGGATGGTTTCAGGATGATTCAAGTGCATTACAATTATTGTGTACTTTATTTCTATTATTATTACATTGTCACTTGCCAGTCACTGATCCTTTTGATATGAGTCTGCAAGCAATTGATTTATTATGGTCTCTGTGCAGTCGAAGCTCTCTGATAATGATAATCTGTATTTGCAACCACTCCCCAGTGCTAGCATCACCGCCACAGCTCCACCTCAGATCATCAGGCATTAGATTCTCATAAGGAGCGCACAACCTAGATCCCTCGCATTCACAGTTTACAGTAGGGTTCGCGCTCCTAGGAGAATTTAATGCTGCTGGTGATCTGATGGGAGGCGGAGCTCAGGTGGTGATGTGAGCAATGGGGACCAGCTGTGAATACAGATGAAGCTTCACTTGCTTGCTCACAGCCCACCTCCTGCAGTGCAGCCTGGTTCCTAACAGGCCACGGACCAGTACCGGTCCACAACCTGGAGGTTGGGGACTGTAGCTATAGAATATGCAATATCAAGAGTGAACGCTAATGTAAACCATGGACTTCGGGTGACAATAATGTATGAATGTAGGTTCATCAATTGTAACAAATGTTCCACTCTGGGGAATGTTGATAATGGAAGAGGCTATGCATGTGTAGGGGCAGGGCAGAGGGTATATGGGAAATATCTGTACCTTTTGCTTAATTTTGCTGTGAAACTAAAACAGGTCTAAAAAATAGAGTCTGTTTAAAAACAAACAAACAAAAAAGTTCATGCTCATTAACATCTTAGAAGCATCCAGAAGATGAACTGAAATTTAGTTTCTCTGACTCAAGATGAATGCATTAACCTATGTTTGAAATTTGTGTGCCCAAGAATAAAACCTCTCTTGCTTCACTCACTAGTTACCTCTTTTGATAAGCATTTAAAAAACTATAAATTCAATTATTTATATTTGACTTTACTAACATTTGCTTCCCATTTACCTCTAGGTTTGAAGTTTGAGGAAATTCAAGAAAGATTTGGTGAGGAGTTCTTTAATATATGCTTTGATGAGAATGAGCGAGTCCTTCGAGCTGTAGGTGGCACGTTGCAGGACTTTTTTAATGGCTTTGATGCTTTGTTGGAACACATTAGAACTTCTTTTGGAAAACAGGCCACTCTGGAGTCACCATCTTTCCTATGCAAAGAGCTCCCCGAAGGTACTCTCATGCTCCACTACTTCCACCCCCACCATATTGTGGGGTTTGCAATGCTGGGGATGATTAAGGCTGCAGGAAAGAAGATCTATCGGCTGGACGTCGAAGTGGAACAGGTTGCAAATGAGAAGCTGTGCTCTGATGGTGCAAACCCAGGCAACTGTAGCTGTCTTACTTTCCTTATCAGAGAATGTGAAAATACTAATATCACGAAGAACCTTCTACAGGGAACCTCCCAAGTTCCTGCGGACCTCAGAATTAGCATCAACACCTTCTGCAGAGCCTTCCCTTTCCACTTGATGTTTGACCCCAACATGTCAGTCCTTCAGTTGGGGGAAGGCCTAAGGAAGCAGCTCCGATGCGACACTCACAAAGTGCTCAAGTTTGAGGACTGCTTTGAGATTGTGTCTCCCAAGGTTAATGCCACCTTTGAAAGGGTCCTGCTGCGCCTGTCTACCCCGTTTGTGATTAGAACAAAGCCTGAGGCTTCTGGCACTGAAAATAAAGACAAGGTAAGTGGTCATACACTTGAGGTGGGTGATGGGAACTAGAAGAGTGGATAATTATTTCAATAAATTACATGTTGGCTGTACTTGTAATTATTTAGGCAAGAGAGCTTAATGTGCCATTTAGAAGATTACTAGTCCCTGGATGTATGTAAAAAGATTTGGCCCCATTCCCAGCCTTTTTGTATGGTGTCTGCCTCATTCATTAATTTATTTCAGAATATAAGAAGATGACATTTATTAATACTAGCCATAGCAATTACAAAAATGAAAGGACTCACTAAAACCTAATGATAAAACTCATGAATATTCCTAGTGATTGAAGTCAGACTCTGAGAAAAATAGTCTTTCAACATTGTTGGGCTCGACTGCCTTATCTTTAAATAAATATAGGTAAAGAGCTAGCTATACTTTTAATTTGTTCTCTTCTAAATTTTGTAATCTAGGAACATCTGGGTTACATCCTATTTTTTTCTTAATATACAGAATAATGTATTCCCCCAAAATTGGAAATTAAATAACTATCCTCTAGACTTCTCTTATAATTAGATTTGTGTATTAAAATAGAGACTCATTCTTTTAGAACATTTTCACTACTTGAGAGAATACAATGAATAGTAGGGTTTTTTTTTTGTGGATTTCTCTGAATACTTTTTGGGTTATAAATTGTAAATAATTGATGAAAAGACATCAGAAATAAATCTTAAAATAGTTTGGTTTCAAGGTTTTAAAAAGTCAACATTAAAATAAATAATAAAATGTAAAGAAAAATAAGCTATGACTATTCTTATGTTAATATACTTTCAGTGATTAAGGGAAATATAATGTTAATTTCCATGGTAGACATTTGAATGTACATTCGTTTTCCAGTAGGTTGTCATTTCAAAATTTCATATAGGGTAAATACAGTTCTTTTAGGCTATTCAGCTGTTTCCAATCATTTCAGGGAAGAGATTGGCTACTCTAAATGAACAGGTTGCTCTGGGCTAAAGGAAGGAAGAGTTGCAGAAATAATTAAAGACTCAATGAATGAATAATCTACACATATTCTGGAGTGCCTGCAATAATAAATAAATAAATGAGGAAATAGCCTTCTGAAAGCAAACCCAAAGACGTTCTTGAGGATTTTATACAGCATTAGTTTTATGACTGATTAATTTTCATAATTTTGAAGTTTAATGGAAAATTTTTAAGAAGTATTTTAGAAAGATGGAATGATGCACATGTATTCAGTGTGATTGAATCAGGTGATTCAGGAGATTTATTCAGTAATATTTTTGTCATATAAATTCAGTGATTTGAAAATATCTAAGAATAGACCTAGATTCCAATTCAGCACATTTGGATATTTTAGTCTGAATGAATTATTACTATTATTGTTATTAATTGATCACATCATGTTTTAAATATTTTTCATATGTATATAGTATATATATGTTCAGTAATTGCTATCCATTTTGAAGCCTTTTAGAATGCAAGAAACTTGTTAAATGTGTATTTTTGTTCACATTTATAGTTGCTTTAAAACTGGGATCATTCTCTTTTTAATTTAGGGAATATTAAAGCTGTCAGTTCTGTTTTACAGAAGTATAATATTTGGCTAGGAGGATTTGAAGCATTTTTGGCTTTTAGAATTAAAGTTAATATTTTTGAAAATACTGCCTCAGCTAGAATATATTATTACCAATGTTGGTTGCTTTATATATTTTATATATTTGAGAAAAATTAATTCATTTTAAAGTTACTGCTTCAGATTTTTTTTCCTTATATTTCATTTGGCTTGTATGTCTATTTAATTTGTATACCAGGGTAAGAAATAGACATAATGAAATGATGACTCAAATGTCAAGGCCCCCTGCCAATTCCAATAATAAGGAACTGTGCTCATTGAGAAGATGCAATTATCATTTAAGCATGTTAGTGGCAGTTTAAAAATAAAGCAATAGGCAGGATTTTTAGTTAGAATAAGGTTAGTAATCTGCTCATCCTTACATTTATTTCTGCTTACTCACCTGGGTTTGCCAGAGAGGGACTTCTGGGAGGCTATAGTTGCCCCACATTAAAACTATAGTCATAAGCTGTGGCATGGAGTTTTAAGCAAGTGCATAACATTTTTGAATTAGTATGTCACCAAATTTCAAATTTTTAGTTTCTTGAAACAAGAAGAAATATAAATCAAACTTAAAAATTTTTTATTGATAAATTTGACTTTGATATTCATTATTTTCCCCATAATAGCTATTCTTGTTAACCAGATAACACCATGTTGTCTAAAGTATCTAATTTTTTAGTTTGCTTTGATAAGAAAATGCTATTTTGAAATAATTTTGTATATTTATTCCTTAGTCTGACATTTAAGGAATTTAAATGTCAACTTAATATTAATAATTAAATTAATTTATCCGTGCATTTAATATCAATGAACCACCACCCCTACCATAAAAAAAATTAGGAGCTAATCATGCAGCTGTATAACTGTAAATCATTTTGCAGAATGAACTGTAATGCTTTTGATAAAGCACAGTCGTTGTCATTTTGGGGTGTCGTTGACAGGTTAATTATATGACTAGAGGTAGACCATGCTCATGAGCAATTTGGTGAAATACTAATGAAACAGGAAGGCATTGTCTCAGCCTCCAAAGTATTTACAACTTGATCCTGCTGCAGTGACCTATAAAGATGTAAGGGTTGGTCACCAGAAACAAGATGTCATTGAGAGGCATCTGTTGTAGTAATCAGTGGCAGGCTTTAAATAGAGGCAGAGGGGAATCTGACTCATCTACCATGAAGGGCTCATCCTATTATGAAGACTGTCAATGAACTGAAATTCAACAGTCTTGAGGTCAGAAAAAACTCTTCCAGGTGGCATGACCATGCTTTGATCCCATCATTTGGTTTCCTTTCCATCTTCTCTAAGTGATTATCCATGCCTCACATATTCTTCTATCTCCCTCTCTCTCTATTTTCTTCCCCCCTATATTGTATTCCTGTGTTTTCATCTTTCCTTAAGCTCAACTTCCTTTTCATCATCTTTTCTTATCAGATATCAAGCATTAAATATGAATGAATTAGTTAATTATTTAAAAAATGCAACAGTTTCAGCATTAGAAATACTCAATTTATATTAATTTGTGCTGTGTGTCTCTTTTGCATCATTCAAATATAATACTACTCTGAGAATTTAGAAGCTTATTGCATAGATCTTTTTGAGTGACAAGGCATTATGGTGAATTTGAGGAGAAATTTGTTGCAGTGCAATGAGCAGTTTGGGGTTAATTATCATGTAAAACAAATTTAAGATGTAAATCAGATTCCGAAGCTTCTTTGTTTTGAGTGGACCACATTTGTAGATAGGGTTGTTAGAAATCAGAGTAATGACACATAGCTTCCTTCTCTGCATTGTAAGGTCATGTCGTGTTGGGGAGAGTATCAACAGACTGGGAAATAGGTGTCTCGGATAACCATGATTTTAGTAAATCCCTTTAATCTCTGAGCCTCAGATTTATCCATCTGGAAATAAAGGAACTTAGACTTATAATTAATATTTTTGTTCCCTTACAAATCATACTTAACACATATACATTTATATGAGGTCAATTGATGATGAAGACTTCTTTCATCGCTATGATTCAGTGAATTCAGATGCACTTATAAAGAGAGGCAGGGGAGAATCTAACTTATCTACCATGAAGGACTCATCCTATTATCGAGACTGAGTTAAAATAATTCTCTGACATCTTAGGCTGCCTACCTCAAAACATTATGTGTTGGGATTGAATGACATAATCCATGTAAAATTCTTAGTATCTTTGATCCTGAGGCTAAGCATTGAATAAATGTTCATTATTCTACCACTATTATTAGTGTTCCTTTCTACCTGTGACATCTTCCTATTGATTCACCACTAAAACTGTGGTTTTAATGATGGACAACTTGACATATTCACTTATTGCCTTATAGAAGAAAATACTGAATATCAGTAGGTTTAATAATTTTAGAGGAATATCAAACTCACCTAACGTCTTCACAAAATATGGCTTGGGCTCTGCTTCTTGTCTCCTTAATAAAGACTTGAAGACCACTTGTCACAAATTCTGTAGGAGCTCTGTTTGGATCTACCTTTTATTTACATACTATCATTGTTTTAAAATCCCTAGTCTTCTTGCCTGATTCATGAAAGTTTGGAATCAAGTTTTCATCACCCATGTCTACTAATATCTTTTATGTTCATTTATCACAGCATTTTGCTATGACTTCCAAAATAAAATGGATGAGTTAACTTTGGCACAACCTGAAGCAGCAATGAATTTTGAGAAACAATAAATAACACGAGTTCTTTTGACATTTTTTTTGGTAGCAACGCTTCAGAGAACTTTAATAACACCTTGGAAAGAACCCAGCATTTGAAATATATCATCCCTACAACAGAGCAATAGCATTGTTATTCATCTTGACTTTTGTTCTCAGGGGTGGAGCTGAGGAAAAGCATAACAAAAACACATTTCTTTTTTAATTCCCGGAAATATCCTCACATTTGTCTTATTAGTTACAAACTGCAAACAAATGCTGGGAAATAATTTTGAAAGAATAAAATAGGAAATGACGTCTGATTTTCTGTGGTCAAATCAGTTTCCAAATTACTCCTTTATCGTTTCTAGACAGGTGCCCATCTTTTTCTGAGGTGATGATTGAAAAGTTTTAAAATATATTTATTAATCCCTCCATACCATAATGAAACTGTTGAAAGACAAGTTTCATCTGGCTGTCAAGAATACATTATTTGACTTCCACTTTAATTTAATTTTGGAAAGTGTGAGCATTTCTTCTCTGTTCAGATCATAGTATTTTATTAGAGAATTTCAAATATTGAACTGTGGTTTTAATGATGGACAACCTGACATTAGGGCTTTCTTGACATCAGCCGAACACAGACATAACTTCATTCAAAATTATCTGGAGTTTACTTTGTTCTTGTAAGTATAAATGAGATTTTAAATTTTAATTTT